GGAATTCGCACTAGAAAGGTAGTACATCATAATATACTAATAATGCATTTTCCTATTATAATCTTTCTTATGGTTTTCACACATATGCCTTTCTTATTGTCTACCCTTGATACAAAATGAATCTATTCCATCTTTCTCATTATAGCCCTTAAAATATTTAAGCATAGTTAGCATTGTCCCCTGGCTGTCTCCCCATTATCAGGTTTTCCCCATAATTACTCATCTGACATAGCTTGAGTTTTCTCTGCGTTCTGCTCAACCATCTCCATTGGTCTCCATCTGCTCAACCATCTCCATTGGTCTCCACCCTAGCAGCACTCATGGCCCTTCCTTTGGGTTCCAGGGCAGCAGGAGAATGCTCATGTTCCTGGAGTTGTAATCACATCCTTGACTGACATTGAACTGAGTTTGGGGAAATCCCCTAACATTTTAAATTTATTGCCGTGAAGTCCAATCTCCTCTCTGTAATTACATCACTATGTTTTGCTTTGTTTTGTTTTGTTTTTGCGGTACGCAGGCCTCTCACTGCCGTGGCCTCTCCCGTTGCGGAGCACAGGCTCTGGACGCGCAGGCTCAGCGGCCATGGCTCACGGGCCTCGCAGCTCTGCGGCATGTGGGATCTTCCCGGACCGGGGCACGAACCCGTGTCCCCTGCATCAGCAGGTGGACTCTTAACCACTGTGCCACCAGGGAAGCCCCATCACTATGTTTTTAAATATAAGTACAGGATTCTAGATTTACCCCAGTTATTTATTTGATACGGATATACTTATTACTCAAGAACATCCAACTCATGAGAGGAAAAATTTGAAAACTGCTACATTCGTTCTCCATTACATATGATGATCACACCATCCTCTTTTTCACAGACAAAATGAAGTGGAAAAAGAGTAGAAAACATCTAACTACTGAATATAGATCTTCCACTACAGGAAAAAATGGAGGGAGGGAATGTGTTATTCATATTCTTTCTCTTCTTCCTTAATTTGCCGAACAAATAACAATTCTCTGCTTCGTTTTACCTGTATAGACACAGGTTGAACAAGAATTCTAATTTAAGGGAATGAAACTGTCAATAGAATTGTTTCTTGATCAACCGCCATTCATTCGGTCATTGTAGAGCAATGGACCAGGCACTGTATTACATCTTGCTTTGCTTTAGCTGAGAGCACACAACCCAAGTTTTCCATCATTTATATTGAATGCAGTAATTGCTTTTGCTTTTTATTCTTTTCTGTCACATCTTATTTTTCAACTTTACTAATAAAATATGAAGAAAGCCATAGAATGCTACAAATGTGATCTTTTACTTATATCATTTTATTAATAGCACTTGACTTTGGCTGTTAAACTATTAACATATAATTAAAAAGCTGCAATACTGCATTAGCAGAGTAAATGCATTCCAGTGAATAATAATAAACCGTTCACAATTTACTAAGAGCTCAATTTAGCCCAAATTATATTGTTAACAATATGCCTGGTTTACTCACATGAAATTTAAAAAATCATTCTCGAGCATTAACATAAAACACCTTATGCTGTTTATGCACACTATAACTCATAGATGGAGTAGGCAATAGAGATTGCCGAAATGAACATTTAAGCCAGTCTCTTCAGAACAGCTATCAGCGTATCAGCCTTATAAAATGTATGCTCATCTCTCTTCTTTTACCTGTATGTCTCCATTTGTACTTGGGTTGTATTTACAATGATGAAGTAAAATCTGTCATGTTGACCCTAAGTATATAAGGTGTTTCACAGGCTCAATGGTACATCCATAAAATTAACAGAGTTTTACTGTATTATTATCAATAATTGTCTTCAAGTGGGAAAGAGCTCTAACAAACCTTCTGCTCTTTACAGAAATCTCTCTACAGCATTCCCAGGTAATAATCATAAGAAATAACTAACGTTATCTGTGTTGTTACTATATATCACTTTACATCTATGAACATCCATGAGGATTTATAAGGTAGGTACTGAGAGTCAGAGAGGAACTTCCCCACAATCTCCCAGCTAGTGTCAGACAGAGCCAGGAAGAGCATCCAGACTCTTTAGTGGCAGATTTCCTGAGCTTATCCATTGTACTTGACAGCCTTTCAGTCTCTGAGGTTAGGCACGGCCTTTCAGTAACTGCTTAAGCAATTCTGAAGAAGGGACCCTCACTCTCCCTCTAGGCAACACATAGTATTTTGGACATCTCCAGTTTAAGAAGTCCTTCCTTATATTGAATCTGTATAACATACTTATACCTCTTTGTCCTGGCTCAATTTCTTGGAGGAGCACAGAATACCTAAGCGAAATGCCTCTTTCCATGACAGACATTGAAGTATATGAAAAAGGCAATCATATTTCCTTTAAACCTCCTTTTTTTCTAAACGAAATACTTCCTAGTTCCTGCAACTATTTTTCATATGACATAATCTGTAGAAAATATTCCGATTGCTCTCCCCTCACTACAACTGTTTGTCAACAACCATTTAAGTGGAGGCATCAGTTACGAGCTGACCTCGAGAGATTTTCCTGTGACTCTACTCTTCCTCGTCCTGAACGGTAGACCAGAGGACTTAGCACATCTGATTGAATGTTGATCCTTCTGACTTTTCGAAAGCAAACCAGCAGGTCTGTGACATGCATACTATAATGAGGATATGATAAGTATTTTATAGGCTGCTTCAATTAAATGAGATGATGAACATACAATGTGTGGCTCAAATTACAGCACATGCGCTTTAGTGGTAAGCTACTTCCCTAATGAGTCAGCCTAGCTAGCTGCTTGGTCTTCCAACATCAGTGACTGTCATTTTAGATCTGGGAACCCAGGAAGTTCAGGCCACCTCCTGCATGGATGGCAATAGTCAACTGTAGTATGGAACATACCAGGCCCCAAGGCATTTTACCGTCTCATCTTGACCTTGAAATCAAGAAAGTTCTCTAGATTATGGAATCACTGTTCTCAAGCTCATGCCTGAATAATTTATTGCTTTATCTTTATATAAATGAAAGACTATGTATTTAGCTTTAGCGAATTGTATCTTTCAGTATAGTTTAGCTGTAACCTCTGAATCCTTGCTTGGTTATCCAGGAATTAGCTCTCCCTCTCGGAGCAGTGTTATCCTCAGGTTTCATAAGCATGCAACCTTTATCATTTTCAGGGCTTGATAGAAAGGGAAGAAGCGGGACCAATCTCACAGTACTGGCTATGCCCCTAAAGCAGCAGCTGGGCCCAGGGAAGTCAGTCCAGCGAGGAACGGCATCGTAAGGGAAATGAGAAAGAGCAACAGTGCCAGTATAGGATCTCGAGAGCTATAGGAGATCCAACACCCTATTAGGCCACTATAGAGTCTATCACCCTAGCCTATTCTCTGTCTTTGGCATCTGTAAAGAAATCAGATTTCAAAAATCAGTAACCCCAGAAGAATAAACAAGTCTCATCAAGATGACCTTACTGAAAGGTTAATTATGTTCCCAAATAATGGATCTAATAATGGCCCCAGTTATTAAACGTTTATTATGGTCCAGTCCCTTTTATGTGAGTGACTTCTTTTAATCCTCCCAAAAATCCTCTAAGGCAGATATTATTACTACTATATTATTATTTTACAGAAGAGGAAACTAAGCTACTTGCCCAGGACCCCATAGATGGAAAGAGCATTCTCAGGACCCATAACCAACAATCTGTCTCCAGAGTCTATACTCTAGGACATCCAGCAGACTGTTGGTCCATCTTTTAATACAGGAGACAATTTCTAGCCTCCATATTTTTCTAACAACAATTACAACCATAGTTTTATTCTGATTTATTTTTGCCATCTTACATTTCTAGAACATTTTCTTCAACTCTGTGACCTGGGAAGCCCATTACCATCTTGAGTCTCTGAATATTTCTCCTTTGTCAAGTTTAATACCTTACATTTTTCTTTATTGAATCCAACCTTGTTCATTCATCAATGGGCTAAGTATGTAACATGTTCTCAGCATTGTACTAAGAGCTTGGGTGGAATTTCTAAATAGGAAAGCTGTTTTGATTTGTTAACAAAGATCCTAATTATACATTCAATGGGGAGGATAACATATCTAAACAAAGTTGTCTTCAATGAATCATGAAATTATACATCTGGTCTCTATGTAAAAGAGAAGAGCCTAACTCAAAAATATATACACATATTCGTATGTTTAAAGTCACTCTTTCTGCATATAGAAATAAAATGGATGAAGAAAACCTCAGGTTTCCTGCGAGGAAAGTATCCTGTAATTGTCTTTGAAACTCTCTCTTATAATTTAAAGAGCATTGCAAAGTTTCACAAAGGGAAAGAGCAAATCTAAATAAGTGAATTCTGCAATACTTTTGTAGAGTTGGTGGCACAGCTCCATCCGAATCCCCTCAACCATCAAACAAATAAATAAAAACAAGATTATATAGGAAACTTTGCCTAGCAAACACTTTCAGAAAGAACTGTCTCACCCAGACCACCCACCCTTGCCACTAGCCGTGGCTGGTTCCACTATACTTCAGGGCCTTTACTATTGAATCAAATATTCCCTAATCACCGAAACTTCTATCCTTCAGACTCAAATGCATGAGGTTATTGGCAGCCAGAGAATCATCCAGAGCCTCACGTTGCTGCCTAATGCTCCCCAGGCTCTTGTGATGCAGCTGCAAGAGAGAGAGCCGAATGCCAAACCCAGAGCCCAGATTGCCTTGCCTGCACTCTGCCAGCATCAGAGCAGCCCTGGCTCCCCATGGGTGCTCCTGGAGAAATTCCCCAGAAATGGAAACAACAACAACAACAACAACTGCTATCCCTGCCCATTCTTCCTAGGGATGCACTAATTTCAAGGTTTACAGAGATGTATGCATAGAGAGAAGGGGAGGTCAAAAGTCAAGAAAGGGAGTTGGCATCGGCCAACTTTTAGCTTCTTCCCCTAATGGTTGTAGCAGAGCAATGAACCGTACCTCTCCATGACCAACTGTGTAAAGCACAGTTTGAACTTACCCTCTTTCTAGGCTGAAGGGGTGGTGTCCCTGCTCAGTGTTGAGATGGTTCCTCCAGAGTATGGGTTTGTTTGGGGTCCTCTGTTCATCCTCTACCCGTGAGTTAGCTGGAGGTCCAGCTCAGATTCTGAAGACATGGAAGTGTCCTTCTTGAAGTGTAAACATAATTTCTTGTCAACCCACCACCAGTTTTCCAGTGCATAGGACTGAGTTGTGGCTGGTTTCTACATCTGCTCAGAAAAAAGAAAAAGAAAAAAAAGAGGTGAGCAACTACTGCCCCACTTCATCAGTGAACTTCTTGTTCATCATATTTTAGCCAAGATGACTTTCTACATGGAAGAGCAATCAAATAATCACAAATGTTTATATGAGTATTTACTAAGCGCCAGACTTATAACTAAATACTTCCCATTCATTGCCTTGGTCAATCCTATAACCACCCAGTGAGGTAAGTGTTACCATGAGTCTCACATTTCCGATAAAGAAACTGAGACTCAGAGATGATAAGGATTTCTTTAAGGTCACACAGTACTTAAGTGAACAGACCAGAATGTGAGCTAGACCTCAGTAATGGCAGAGCGATATAACTTGAAATAAAAATGCCCTCAGGGCTTCCCTGGTGGCGCAGTGGTTGAGAGTCCACCTGTCGATGCAGGGGACACGGGTTCGTGCCCCGGTCCGAGAAGATCCCACATGCCCCGGAGCGGCTGGGCCCGTGAGCCATGGCCGCTGAGCCTGCGCGTCCGGAGCCTGTGCTCCGCAACGGGAGAGGCCCCAACAGTGAGAGGCCCGCCTACCGCAAAAAAAAAAAAAAAAAAACAAAAAAAAATGCCCTCAGTTTCCTTCTTAATGGGGTAAATGCTTAGGCAATTTAAATACAAATTGAATAGGCTTTCAAATGAAAACTTTTAACATATTTTTGACTTATACAGAGCATAGAAAGAAACTACATAGGGTACAAAAAGGATTTGTAGGACTACATTTTAGGAAGTATTTTTCCTTTGGCAATTTCTCAAACCTAACTTGCTCCAATGATATATTACACCCTGTTTATTATCTACAAAGAGCATAAATAGTTAGAGAAATGTTTTTGACCCCTACCAAAAGCAAATATGACCTCGTTTCCAAACCAGAAACCTTCGTCTGGACTTTGAATACTGATTTGGAAACAAGTTTTTAAAAGAATTAGCTCAAAGCAGCAGGTTTGTAGCTCATATGACATGAGATGATCAATGAGCACATTAGCTGCTAATCTAAGGCATAAAACATGCATGAGCGTTAGCATGGAAATCTAACACGTTCCCACGTTCCCACCCCAGGTGGCACTGGATTTCTAATCCGTTGTTCCATCTAATAGGAATAAACTTAAATGGTTTATTTAGAGCTTCATTTACAAAGTTAATAATTAGGGTGATTTACTCAAAAGGCAGGGGAGGGGGAGGAGGAAGGGGGTCAGCTGAGTGGGGGGTGAAATGGGAAAAAGGAAAAAAAAAGTAATCTTGAAAAAGCGAAACAACATCTTAGGATAATTTTGCCTCAAAAGACATCTCCCACTCTGATGGTAGGGAATCAGGGTTAAAAAAAAAAGCATGACCTCAAGAAGCTGAGTCTTGGTTGGGGACCAACAAATAAATCCTGTTATTTGTTATAGGATATTAGGCAAGTTGTTTAATCTCTCAGACAAAGGTTTCTACATCTCTAAAATGGGAATGATAATACCTGCTTGGCATGGAGTAAAAAAGATAACAAAAGCAAAGTGGTGAATACAATACCTGACACAGGGCAAGTACTCAATTTCTATTGATTCCGCCCGTGAATGGATTCACTAGAAAGTGCTAAGATACAAACGTGGTCCCCTCCTCCTGCTTCTGCAATGCCAGGGTCCGACCTAGTCACAGATTTTGACATGGCACTTTTACCTGCACCCGGTGCTGGGATAATAATTGGATGAGTTTCATTTGACACTATGCAGAATATTGGGCAAATGAGCTTCAGCTAATTAAAACAAACAGCTATCCTGTCTGTCACCCACCTCTCAGGTGACCCATGTTTCTCTATGTACCATTTACGTGATCCAGCTCCAGGCTTACCCTTAACTTTTTAAGGGCCCAGGGCAAGAGTCCAAATGGAAACCCACATACCTAAATATTTAAAACGTATAAAACAGTTAACAAAATTTAAATAAAATAGTTTCTATCCTCTTACCTAAACAAAAATACCTTAATAATGACCTAGAAGGTTAGATTCAAATTCATAACTCTTGGACCCCGTGGGGTTCTGTGCCAGGACACGGAGCTTGGGAAGAGCCAGCTCTTCCTCCTTTACTCCCCACCCTGGCTCTGTCCTCCACTGGATGGCAACTTGCATGCATGTGCAATCCTCCAATACTCACATCCAAACTCCGTCTCTATGCCCACCCTCACAAACAGCCACCCCAAGACCCCATTTCAAGCCCACTCGTGGGCCCACCAACAGCTTGGTTGTACCTCCCCCAAGAGAAAACTCCTCGGAAAGAGACTCATGTGGGCCTTGGAAGCAGGCTCAGGACTACTTAGGCTGGAAATTCCAGTGTCCCGAATATCCAAAGGTTTGTCCGGAAGTGGGGGAGGCAGGCTCCAGGTGGCCGTGAAGACAGGAGGTGGTTCTGAGGACACACGGCACTGTAGAGAAAGAGAGGCAGAGCCAGAGGAGAGCTGAAGAAGAGGCAGCTGAGGCACAGAGCCCTGGGCAAGGGTCCCTTTCCCCCAGCTCAGTAAAACCTGCTTGTTCAGTAGAGTGAACTTATCTCTTCCTCATCCCGGTTGCCGACCTGAGGGGCAGGTGTTAATATCTTCCCTGCCGGGGAGCTGGATACTACCCTTAAGGTAGCTCCAGAGCAGACGGTCCTTCTGCGAAGGGCAGTGTGGCCATTACTATTAACCCTTGTGATTTCACTTTCTACCTTAAATCAGTCTTGCTAATTAGCAGGTTCCACCTTCTTAACAATTAGCTAGACTGGTAAATAATCAAGAGACAGGACAAGCTAATTAACCTTCAGTTTCCTTCCCAGGAATCTATGGAGAATATTTTTCATACATAATGTACTTCAGGGCTTGTGTTTTCAGAGAAAGAATCGTTCGAAGGTGTTTTCATGCCCACCCTTATGATATAGAAACGCGGTCTGCCTCACATGTCTAATCAGCCTTGGCACCCTTAGTATCACTGAAAGGTTTTCTGGGCCGTGGAGAGAATTTCTGCAAGCTGTATGAAGGCCATAATGCTCACTTTTAGAGGGCTGTAAATAGAGCGTACAAGCTACTAACTGCAGTCTGTTATAGACTCATGTTGCTGCCCTAACAGAAAAGAAAGGGAGCTCACCATACCTGCCCAAACCAGACTAAGGCTCTGCAGAAAGACTGGACATTCAGGGACATGTAGCAGCACCTTTAGTTATGACCACATTACTCCATGAATTGGTCCTTGCCTGGTTTCCCCATTCCCACTCACCCATCACTTCTTACCTGCCTCTCAAGGGCTTTCCACCACCAAGGTTCTCAAATCACATTGTAATCACCTGGAGAGCTTTAAAAGTCAGCTCCAGAGATTCTATTTAATTGGTGCAGCCTGGGCAAGGGGAGTTTCAAGAGCTGTCCAGGCGACTCTAATGTGCAGCCGGGTTTCAGTGTCAGCACTCCACCACAGCAGCCCAATCTGCTGGCTCTTTCCCGAACGTATCCAGAACTCTCACCCTCCTGTGCCCTTTCCTTTTGCTTCAGTGTCCCTCTCCCACCTGGAAAACTTCTCATTCTATGAGACTCAGTCAGAGGAAGCTCTGTCCTGAACACTCAGGTCCCCCCATCTGGAGATCCCAGATCACCTCCCATACCCCTTTAACAGAGCTAACAGAGGCCATGTAATTTATGATCCCAAACAACACACTGTTGAATGTAAAAGAAAACACTACTAATAATTATGCTCGGTGACAGGTGTCAACTGGGACTAACGCTGGCCAACTGGAACATCAGATCCCCCTATTTATAGCCCCTATGATATCAATCAGTAATTGCACATCTGCCTGCCTGTCTCCTACTCTTGCTGTGAAAGCCATTAAAGCAGGGATAGCACTTCCTCATCTCTCTAACCTCAGTACCCAACCCAGATTAGATGTTGAATCGATGCTTCCTTAAGAAGCCCTCTATTTTATAATGATTAAATGCATGGACTCTGTTACCAAAGAACATGCGTTCGAATTCCAGCTCTGCCACTTATTAGCTGTGTGACTGGACTATTGTGCTTTAATGACTCTGAAATGGAGTTAATAATAGAATGAATGTATTTAATAGGATTGTTGAAAGGTTTAAATGAGTTGATATATGTAAAGCACCCAGAGAATAGTATTTAAACATAGGAAGCACTGTATAAGTGTTTTTTATTATTTGTAAAAAGAACGGATAAACCAACTGAATAAGCTCCAAGTGCCTCTTTTCTATGGAACCCCTCCAAATGATCACGCCCATAGTGAACGTTCATGATAACAGCTATCCTTCACTGATGAATCACCACGTTCCAGGTGCCATTACGTGCTTTGCATACATTATCCCATTTACCCTTCATCACAGCCCCTACCAGGAAACTATATTATTACACCAAGTTTACAGATAAGGAAAGTGAGGCCCCAAAATGAAGAGGATATCCACAGTCACTGGGTTTTATCTTTCTATAAGAAAAAAGCAACTGAAATCCATTCGCACTGTGAGTTTCCTGTGATTCCTTCGAGAAATAAAAGGGCTTTTCTGAAGTCCCTGTAATCACATAACATACCTAGTTTTTAAAGAGATGGAGAGTGAAAAGGCAATTGCCCTGTAATATGTACTTTGGAAGGAGCTCTTGTTTGCCGCTTTTTGAAGTGTTTTAACAATTCACGAACTAACATTATCAAGAAGATAATATGTACAAAGCAGTATTGGGGGGACTCTGAGGACACCCCAAATTGAAAATCTTCCTCTTACCTCCAAGGAGTTCAAAATCTAGTTGAGAACATAGAGAAAACATTCAATAACACTACAGGATTTAAATAGCAGTAACACAAGGGAGATTCCCAGAGCAACGTGATTAATTTCCCAGGAAGTGGTAGTTTGTACCTGCCATAGGAGGTCAGGGAAGTAAGGACTTCTGAAGAGACTGAGAGTTGTATCTTTAAACATCGCTTCAACAAACTTTCACCGACACCCATCACCTGTCACTCTGCAGC